GAGGTGTCGCGCGCAACCCTTTCGCACGAAATGGACGTTGGACGTCAAAAACTGAAGAAAAATTACGACTTTGAGGTGTCAATCGCAACCCTTACGCACGAAATGGACGTTGGACGTCAAACACTGAGGAAAAATTGCGACTTTGAGTTGTCAATCGCAACCCTTACGCACGAAATGGACGTTGGACGTCAAAAACTGAGGAAAAATTGCGATTTTACTTGGTCAATCGTAACCCTTTCGCACGAAATGGACGTTGCACGTCAAAAACTGAGGAAAAATTGCGATGGACGTTTTCGTTTCTGTACCAGTGTCTGTGTGTAAAAGCGTCTGTGTGTAAAAGCGTTTGTGTTTGAAAGAGTTTTGTGGGTGTGTAAAACGTTTGTGTGTGAAAGCGTTGTGTGCGTGTTGTAAAACGTATCTGGTGTTGTAGAAGGTTCTGTGTTGTAAAACCGTATGTGTGTAAAAAGCTTTTGTGTGTAAAAAAGCGTTCTGTGTGTAAAAAGCGTCTGTGTGTTAAAAGCGTTGCGTCTGTGTGTAAAAAACCGTCTGTGTGTAAAAGATATTGTGTGTAAAAGCGCTCTGTGTTGTGTTAAAAGCGTTCGTGTGTAAAGCGGCGTCTGTGTGTAAAGGTCTGGTGTAAAAGCGTTTGTGTGTAAAAGATTTTGTGTGTACTTTGACCGCACGACATGGAACTGTTAGAGATTGAGGGTGACAATGCTTGCTAGTGTATCCGTGCTAGGACGTGCGGAGCTTGGTTCGTTTGGTGTGTCCGTGAGATCTCGAGAATTGCATTGTGACAATGTCAGTGTTTGCAAGTTTACGATGCAGTGGATCTATGTGATGTATAGCACGAAAAAAATATATGTGATGTTTTCATTGAAATGCATGAGCAGTGGACAAACAAGGTGGGCCAGAGAACCCAAAAGCAAGACGGCACACAGCACGCCTTTTCTTGAAAATCTTGGGGTGTGGCCAGCTGTGCTCTGCACGAAATCGACGTAAGATCTTTACTTAAACATCGTGCGCGCTGATGGTATCAGGGGCCACGATTCACCACAGCATGCTGTGTCAGCTACGCCTACAGTCTTCTAGTCGCTATTTCTGTTAATGTAATTAACTCTATCCCATCTGTCTAGTCGCTATCTATTTCTGCGTTCTCGTTTGGTTTGCTTCGCCGCAGAGGGAGCGAGCACGAAGCGTGGACGGACAGAACGAAATGAAAATTAAACGACAGAGGGAGCTGACCAAAAGAGCATGAAAACGAAGATATATATGAAGGTGACAGATGTCAAATGATCATGAAAAATGAGACATGATAAAAGATGGGTAAAGACTTCTCTGTACAAAAGCTTCTTTGCATAAAAGCTTCTGCAAGTAAAAGCTTCTGTGGGCAAGAACTTCTCTGTGTAAAGGTTTTTGGTGTAAAAGCTCTTGTGTGTAAAATCTTCTGTGTAAAACGCGCTCTGTGTCTAAAAGTTTCTGTTTGCGAAAGTTTCTTTGCGTACCAGCTTCTGTCTGTAAAAGCTCCTCTGTGTTAAGGCTTTGTTTGTGTAAAGCTTCTGTGTGCAAAAGCTTCTCTGTGTAAAAGACTTCTCTGTGTCAAAGCCTCTGAGTGTACAAGCTTCTCTGTGTAAAAGTTCCTCTGTGTAAAAGCTCCTCTGTGGAAAAGCCGCTCTGTGTAAAAGGCTTCTGTGTGTAAAAGCCTCTGTGTGTGCAAGCTTCTCTGTGTCAAGACTTCTTTGTGTAAAGATTTCTCTGTGTAAAACTACTCTGTGTAAACGCTTCCGTGTAAACTCTTTCCTGTGTAAACGCCTCCGTGTGTAAAGACTTCTCTGTGTAAACCCGTCTGTGTGTAAAAGCTGCTTTGTTTAAAGGTTTTTTTGTGTTAAAAGCTTCTGTGTGTAAAACCTTCTGTGTGTAAAAGTTTCTGTGTGTAAAAGCTTCTGTGTGTAAAGGTTTCTGTGTGTAAAAGCTTCTGTGTATTAAAAAAACTTATGTAAAAGCTTCTGTGTAAAAAAGCCCCCTGTGTGTACAAGCTTCGCTGCGTAAAAGCTGCTCTGTGTGAAAAATCTGTGCGCCGTAAAGTTGTCTGTTTGTAAAACCTCCTGTGTGTGTGTGAAAGCGTCTGTGTGTACAAGATTCTGTGTGCAAAAGCTCCTCTGTGCAAAGACTTCTCTGTGTAAACGCGTCTGTGCGTAAAGGCTTCTCTATGTAAAGGCTTCTCTGTGTAAATGCGTCTGTGCGTAAAAGCTCCTCTGTGTAAGACTTCTCGGTGTACAAAGCTTCTGTGTGTGAAAGTTTCTGTGTGTAAAAGCTTTCCTGTGTAAAAGTTTTCTTGTGCAAAAGCTCCTGTGTGAAAAACTTCTCTGTGTAAAGGCTTTTTTGTGTAAAAGCTTCTGTGTGTACAAGCTGCTCTGTGTTAAAGTTTCTGTGCGCCGAAAGAATGTCTATCTGTAACACCTTCTGTGTGTAAATCCCGTTTGTGTAAGGACTTCTCTCGTAAAAGCTCCTCTGTGTCAAGACTTCTTTGTACAAAAGGCTTCTCTCTGTAAAAGCCTTTGTGTGTACAGGCTTCTCTGTCTCAAGACTTCTCTGTGTAAAGACTTCTGTGTGTAAAAGCTACTCTGTGCAAAAAAGCTTCTGTGCGTAAAGGCTTCTGTGTCAAGACTCCTCTGTGTCTGTGTAAACGCGTCTCTGTGTCAAAGTTTCTGTGTAAAGGCTTTTTTTGTGTAAAAGCTTCTCTGTGCATGTCCCATTTTTCAGCCTTTGCAAACCGTTTGACCGGTCTTGGGACCATTTGACCAGTCTTGGGTCCACAATTTTTTCAGGCCAATCGCAATGATGGCATTTGTCCTGAAAAAACCCGTGCCAACAGTTCTGCCGCAAACTATTTTCAAGGTTTCCTATCCGTCCAGCATGCTGTCTCGCTCCCATCCAGCGCACTTTCCCCAAGCTATTTTCCACGGTTTTGTCCCGTCCAGCATGCTGTCCCGCCCCCTCCCCGCGCAGTTTCCCGAAGCTATTTCCACGGTTTTGTCCCGTCCAGCATCCGGTCTCGCTCCCTCCCAGCGAAGTTTCCCCAAGCTATTTTCCACGGTTTTGCCCCGTCCAGCATGCTGTCTCGCTCCCTCCCAGCGAAGTTTCCCCAAGCTATTTCCACGGCTTCATCCCGTCCAGCATCCAGTCTCGGTCCTTCCCAGCGAAGTTTCCCCAAGCTATTTCCACGGCTTCATCCCGTCCAGCATCCGGTCTCGCTCCCTCCCAGCGAAGTTTCCCCAAGCTATTTACACGGCTTCATCCCGTCGAGCATCCGGACTCGCTCCCTCCCAGCGAAGTTTCCCCAAGCTATTTCCACGGCTTCATCCCGTCGAGCATCCGGTCTCGCTCCCTCCCAGCGCAGATTCCCCAAGCTATTTCCACGGCTTCATCCCGTCGAGCATCCGCTCTCGCTCCCTCCCAGCGAAGTTTCCCCAAGCTATTTCCACAGCTTCATCCTGTCGAGCATCCGGTCTCGCTCCCTCCCAGCGAAGTTTCCCCAAGCTATTTCCACGGCTTCATCCCGTCCAGCATCCGGTCTCGCTCCCTCCCAGCGCAGTTTCCCCAAGCTATTTCCACGGCTTCATCCCGTCGAGCATCCGGTCTCGCTCCCTCCCAGCGAAGTTTCCCCAAGCTATTTCCCCAAGCTATTTCCACGGCTTCCTTCCCTTCCTTCCCTTCCTTCCCCTCCTTCCCTTCCTTCCCTTCCTTCGCTCCGTCCCAGCGAAGTTTCCCCAAGCTATTTTCCCTTCCTTCCTTCTTCCTTCCCTTCCTTTCCTTCTTCCTTCCCTTCCTTCCCTTCTTCCTTCCCTTCCTTCCCTTCCTCCTTCCCTTCCTTCCCTTCCCTTCCTTCCTTTTCCTTCCTTCCTTTTCCTTCCTTCCTTTTCCTTCCTTCCTTTTCCTTCCTTCCTTTTCCTTCCTTCCTTTTCCTTCCTTTTCCTTCCTTCCTTTTCCTTCCTTCCTTTTCCTTCCTTCCTTTTCCTTCCTTCCTTCCTTCCTTCCTTCCTTCCTTCCTTTTCCTTCCTTCCTTTTCCTTCCTTCCTTTTCCTTCCTTCCTTTTCCTTCCTTCCTTTTCCTTCCTTCCTTTTCCTTCTTCCTTTTCCCTTCCTCCTTCCCTTCCTTTTTTCCTTCCTTCCTTCCTTTTTTTCCTTCCCTTCCTTCCTTCCTTTTCCTTCCTTCCTTCCTTCCTTCCTTCCTTTTCCTTCCTTCCTTTTCCTTCCTTCCTTTTCCTTCCTTCCTTTTCCTTCCTTCCTTCCTTTTCCTTCCTTCCTTTTCCTTCCTTCCTTTTCCTTCCTTCCTTCCATCCAACACATCTCCGTCGACCACTCAGTCTCGCTCCCCCGCGGCGAGTGCAACTAAACGAGAACCCAAGCATCGGAGATGCTTTTGGGAAAAAACAAGAACAACAAGTCAAGGCGAGGAGCTTGTGGCTCTCGAACCAGTTGGGCAATCCAAGCTGGTCCTTTTCATCGGAAGGAATCCCATAGTTTCCCACCAAAGGGTACGTGAAAACGAGGATCTGCCCCGCATACGATGGATCTGTGAGGGATTCGGGATATCCGACCATTCCTGTGTTGAACACAACCTCACCAGACACTGATGTGCTTGCACCAAAGGAGTAACCCTGCATCGTGGTGCCATTTGCGAGTTCCAAGTCGCATTTACGACGATCGTTCAACCATTGAAGAAGGTCCTTGGTCTCTCCATTGACTGGTTTCGTGTCCATAGGACCCCCACCGTTCACAAAGTCCAAACCCATCTTGGACTTCCGAAGACTAAGGTAAGGTGTGTGGGACGAACTCGCAGTATCCTTGAAGAACCGAAATGGCTGCGAATTCAAATTTGCATCTGGTCACTGCCATGCACCTGACTGAGAATTCTACAACATGCATTCAGCTTTGCCGCATGCATCACACAGCATCGTTCAAATCCTCTCCAATCGAAAATGAAAAGGAAAACGTGCGATCAAATACAATCTCTGCGTCATTTCCATTCGGATGTCTCTTAACCTACGTGTACTTTCTTGTACTTGCACGCACAGGGCAGCAGGAGTCTGATTTTTCCCCAACAAGAAAAGTTCGCATGAGCCCAGGCACATGCTCGAGTTTAGCCATTAGGCTGTACTTCGACTGGATTAGTCAGAAGCAGTTACACGTCAACACACCCGGCAGTAGTGAAGGTTTTCTAACTCAGATGCAGCAAGAAAGTCTTGAGTGGTCTGAAGGCTCGCTACAGCACGTGTGATGACGATCAAGAAGAGATTCAAGAGATCTTGTAAGCGGGAGAGTGAACGCAGGTCCAGCACTTCCAATTTTGAGCAGACGGTAACTGCTCCAAAATCTGTGCATCAAGCAAATGTGCAGATGCTGTGCCAAGCCAGCCGTAAAATTCTGGCTGCAAGAAAAAGCCACTAAGACTAAGCACTTACCTTCTCCATGTAACCCCCATGGTTGAAGGAAGACTTGGAAGATGTCACTAAATGACACTGGATGTTATCCAGTTTGATTCAATTCAGCCTTTCGATGATCTCAACATATTCCTGCCATGAGCACACATCCCAGAAAGATTTACCACTGCTCTCTCGCAACCACTTCCTGTGGATGGCCGCACATGTGAAGATGGCCGTTTTGATGTCGGTGATCAATGGTACACCGGCTTCGATGGCACCCCGACGCATTTTGAAGCCATCGGTCATTCCATTGGAGTCCATGGAATCTGGCACATTGATCATCATGTCCATCTTGCCGGCTTGCAGGAGGGTGAGCACGTTTGGCTCCTGTACCACATTTCAACTCTTGCCGAACGACATGAAACAAATCAAAAGACAAAAGAAACTTGCCGCAGACATGTGGCACAGGCATCTGGCAACGTATTCCGAGTGAGGGACTCAAATGTGATTTTGCTCAAACATGTCAGACAAGACACTTTTTTGATCGTAGGCTTGTAGACCAGGCTGCAAGACACTCCATGCTTCGACAGGTAGTCCGAGGTGCTCTTGGTTGCAAACAGGCTGAAGCCCATCTCCTCATGGCATTGCATATGACAAGTATTGTCAAGTCAACTTCAAGTCAACCGCTCCTTGACTTTCAACAGAAAGTACATGGCTTTACAGACTCTCAAGCACTAGTGTGGAGGGTGACAGGCTGTCCTGAAGCTGCTTGGCTGCGCCTGTACTCACGAACTCGTGCTTGGCACTGTTGGGACCCAGGGAGATCACAATGTTCTTCCTTGGCTTTCGTGGAATCTAAATACACGACAATACACATACACGTAGGTATGCTTCTTCTAACGATTTCAGCAATTCTTGCGAAGCAACCAACCAAGGTGTCACTCACCTACATCAATATTGCTCAGGCACACGGACACATTTACACTCCAAGGAAAAGATTCACAACCCAATGCAGAGGGCAAAACAGCAATCTGAAGCTAGGCTTCTTCGGAAGCTTGAAGTTTGCAGCGAGCATGCCTCAGATTCAACATGTTTCAACAAGGCAAGGAAAATGAAGATTCAATTCAATTGTTCAACATATAACAAACAACCTGCAGTCCACCCTTCCAAAAAAAGACTGGATCTTTGAAAAAAGATAAGTAAGATGAAGTAAGGGATGCCCAATCATTCATGGGATTACCTGGTGGTTTGGACATGGTTTGGACAATTGAACAGAGTCGACTGCAACTTTCAAGGGCGTAGCCAACTGTGGTCAAGGTGCCCTTCAAGAACGCCTCGTGGACATTCACGCCGAAGCAAGCCACTTCACCAGTTGAAGACATTTCCACCCCGAGGCGAGGATCCGAATTCTTCAGCCTTCCAAAGGAGAACATAGGGCATTTGCACGCAACATAGTCGATATCCATCGGTTGGATGATGGCTGAATGGACAGGAAAGCCAGTCATGATGCGCGTTGCCAGTTCAATGAAGTTCACCTTGAGAGGTGAATGCTGGTGGACACTGTGGGGCTTTATGCAGCCTGCTGGGGCCATCAGCATATTTACTCAGCAATTGACTGCAGTCATTCAATGTGACAAAGAAATACAAAGAACAGGTCCCATACAAATTCATGAAAGCAGCATTGTAGGTCTTGGAAATGAAGGGCATGGATCGCGAAGCTCTCAGATTGCACTCAATGACCTTGACTTCGTTGTCCTTGCAAATGAACTGGATGTTGAATGGCCCTGCCAGCGCATGGCACATGACACTTGGATGGCACAGGCAAGAAATCAGAGCCAACTCGTTGGAGGAAGCGCAAACTAAACCGCCTCAAAGATTTAATGAGTCCAATAGAAATAAAAAGTACAGGGTCCAGTGAACTTGACGGAAGTTTCCACATTTGCGTCTGGCACTGCGTTTTCCCCCCTTCACTCCTGAGATCTTCAACGCTTTGCACAACTTCTGCGAAATGCTCTTGACTCGTCGGTGGGTCTCCACAAAGAGGCGCTGGGCAGGCAGAAGTAGAGTGGCATCTCCACTGTGTACACCAGCATTCTCAATGTGCTCGGCAATGGCATAGTTCACCAACTCGCCTTCGTTGCCAATCGCATCCATTTCCACCTCCTTGGCGCCGGTGATGTATTTCGAGATCACTACAGGGTGATCTCGGCTCACCACTGCTGCGGTCTTCAAGAAAATGTCTAACCTCAGGTCATCTGATGTCATATGACTTCATGCAGCCGTGCAGAACGGCATGTCACAGCTGTGTGCCCCAGTCTATTGTCCTCTGAAACAGGGACTCTTACGATCTCTTACTTAAAGTTCTTTCTGGTTCTTTCTCTTGAATTCAAGTTTTTGACCTGGCCCTGCGAACACACTCTTTGAACTTGGGTCAACAAACTACACTTAGACACTTTGAGGCGAGCACTCGTCATCATTGGTGACCACGCGCATAGCTGCACCACTCAAGACATACGATGGCCGGACGAGAACTGGATAGCCAGCGACTGTGCAGAATCGGCGCGCTTCCTCAGCTTGCTACAAAAGCCTAGTTCAATTCGTTGGTTTCAGTTCAGCAAGCAATCATGATATCATACCCTTCTGCCAAAACTCCTACCAGTTCTTTGGGGCATGAATCAAATCCTTCAGCAGTCTCTGTCTAAAGAAAACACAAATAAAAACCAAAAATCTCCGTTCTCATCCTAAACATTCATAAGCAAAGGTTTTAGTTTCCTCCAATGTAGCGAACTCCGACCATTCAGGCTGGTCCACGCGCAATCGATCGCAAAGCTGGCTAAACTTGTTCCTATCTTCACACGCATCAATTGCCTCGACTGAAGTACCCAAAATGCGGATACCACACCTGATGCAACAGGCAACATCAGACAACACAAACGGTTTCTGACCACCTGAGGTTACCTTTTCTTTGGGCAGTGGTGCAGGGAGTGCGGGGTGCCTTGTTTATAATCTGACATTTTTTTACAATTAGACATGATCTCTGACGATTTGCTCTTCTTGACCGCAGCAAAACCGACTTGCCAACCTATATACTGATTTCAGATGTGAAATTGGGTCAACTATAGTCGATTGGTGTTGCCTCAGTTTTCCCATGTTTTTCCATGTTTTTGCTTACCTGTGCAAGCCCAAGGCCAAGTTGTTGGGTGTCTGGCCACCAACGGACACCACCACCCCACGCGGCGTCTCCAACTCAGAGATGTCCATGACACGCTCGTGACTCAGTTCTTCAAAGTACAAGCGGTTCGACTCGTCGAAGTCCGTGGACACCGTTTCCTAAACATGGCACAGCCGTGGCACAGGCCTGGCACCCATTTGAATTTCCCAACTGAAAGATTAGTGATCAGAAAGGCTTCAATCGCATTGAGCCCAAGCCAAAAAGGTCACGGTGGTATTCGGAAACTGGCGAGTGGTATTCGGAAACTGGAGGTGGTATTCGGAAACTGGTATTCGGAAACTGGAGTGGTATTCGGAAACTGGACAGTGGTATTCGGAAACTGGACAGTGGTATTCGGAAACTGGACAGTGGTATTCGGAAACTGGACAGTGGTATTCGGAAACTGGACAGTGGTATTCGGAAACTGGGAAGTGGTATTCGGAAACTGGTATTCGGAAACTGGAAGTGGTATTCGGAAACTGGAAAGTGGTATTCGGAAACTGGGAGTCGTATTCGGAAACTGGAAAAAGGTATTCGGAAACTGAGATTGGTATTTGGAAACTGATATAATTGGAAACTGGAAACCCGTAGTAACAAGTAACGTAGCAACGATCCCAGAGATCTCAGCAGCGTAGTAACAAGTAACGTAGCAAGGTCCCAGAGATCCCAGCAGCGTAGTAACATGTAACGTAGTTTTAGATCCCACAGATCGTTGCAGCGTAGCACACTATAACGTACGAAGTTCAAGGAACGTTGACATGCCCCCCCTACCCCACCCTACCCCATCAGCAGCATAGTAACAAGTAACGTAGCAACGAGCCCAGAGATCCCAGCAGCGTAGTAACAAGCAACGTAGCAACGATCCCGGAGATCTCAGCAGCGTAGTAACATGTAACGTATATGATTCAATTAGGGCGGTACCACGTAAGTGTATCGGATGATCACTCTTTGGGCAGGGTTTACCATGGTTTACCCCTAACGCATTATATAGGCCAGAGGAGGTGGCAGTTTTGATCCCTCATGAAGTTAAGTTCAAGTCAAGACCCTATTCATCGTATTGGCCAGAGGGGATGGCGGTTTTGATCCCTCATGAAGATAGGTTCAAGGTAAGATCCTATTCAATCAGTTTCGTTAAGATCCTATTCAATGTATGGGCCAGAGGGGGTGGCAGTTTGGATCCCTCCTGGAGAAAAGTTGAAGTTAAGATCCTATTCAATGTATGGGCCAGAGGGGGTGGCAGTTTTGATACCTCATGAAGATAAGTTCAAGTTAAGATCCTATGCACCGTATTGGCCAGAGGGGGTGCATAGGATCTTAACTTGAACTGATCTTCATGAGGGATCAAAACTGCCACCCCCCTCTGGCCCATACATTGAATAGGATCTTAACGAAACTTATTGAATAAGATCTTACCTTGAACCTATCTTCATGAGGGATCAAAACTAACCCCCCTTTGGCCAATACGATAAATAGGATCTTAACTTTTGTTGTTTATCTTCATGAGGGACAAAACCGCCATCCCCTCTGGCCAATACATTGAAGAGGATCTTAACCTCAACTTTTCTCCAGGAGGGATCAAAACTGCCACCCCCTCTGGCCCATACATTGAATAGGATCTTAACTTCAACTTTTCTCCAGGAGGGATCAAAACTGCCACCCCCTCTGGCCAATACATTGAATAGGATCTTACCTATGCATCGTATTGGCCAGAGGGGGTGGCGGTTTTGAATAGTTGCTGGGATACCATAATCATTGCTGGGAGAAACCATAGAGTCAGCATTGAATCCGACGAAAATAGTTTCTGAATACTGCAAAAATAGTTTCTGAATACCACGAGTAGTTTCTGAATCCGACGAAATAGTTTCTGAATACTACGAAAATAGTTTCTGAATACCACGAGCAGTTTCTGAATCCGACGACAATAGTTTCTGAATACTACGAATAGTTTCTGAATACCACGAGTAGTTTCTGAATACCACGAAATAGTTTCTGAATACCACGAAATAGTTTCTGAATACTACGAATAGTTTCTGAATACCACGAAATAGTTTCTGAATACCACGAAATAGTTTCTGAATCCGACGAAATAGTTTCTGAATCCGACGAAATAGTTTCTGAATCCCACGAAATAGTTTCTGAATACCACGTTTATTTTCTGAATCCGACGAGCAGTTTCTGAATCCCTAGTTTCTGAATCCGACGTAGTTTCTGAATCCGTCTTTGTCCAGCCAAAAAGATGCACGCATGCAGACTGGCTAAAAGGGAAAACATATGAAGATATGTGTGTATATATATATATAATCTAGTAAACAAATCTGAATAGATCCTTGATGAAGCTTAGGGCCTAGGGGCGGGATTGCAGTTGATGACGATTGCCTTGTGTCCCAAAGACCTGAGAGTACGGACGCAGGACACACTGCACCAGTCGAACTCCACACTGCTTCCAATCCTGTAAGGGCCGCAGCCCAGAACGATGATGCGCGATTCGGCCTCTTCTTTGGAGTCAGAGCTCTGAGCCTGGAACTTCAACGTCAAAGGCTCCGGAATGGCAGGTGTCAACTCAGTGACTTTGACATCTGAGCATTGCTTCTCACTGCCCGCCAGGTCGACATCATGCTCTTCACCAGAGTAGGTGAGGTACAAATAGTTTGTCTCTGCTGGGTACTCAGCCGCCAATGTGTCAATCTGTTTCACCACCGGTACGATGCCAAGCTTCTTGCGCAGGTGACGAATGTGTGCTTCACTCACAGGACCTCCTGTGTAGCGCAAGGAGCCGTAGTCAACCGGAAGAAGTGCCGGCGAAGCGACGTACTCCATCTTTTCAGGCTCTGACACCAAGGCAGCGATCTGACGATCCGAGAATCCGCGCAACTTGGCCTCCTTCAGCAGCTCTGGCTGGTTGCGAAGCTGATTGAAGTCCATGGACTTCATCGTGCCTTTGATCATGTGCAAACCATGAAGCTTCGAAAGGAACCAGCGGTCAATACCTCAGTTCAGATAGAAAAACATGAAAAAACGAGAACTCAAGAATAGGTGCCTACAACAATCATGATCACTCTGGAACTGCAAAATCTTAATGAGGCAGGTCCTTTCAGGAAGGTAATCATTCAAAATGAGCTGCTGGTCAGTTCATGAACTTCCTCCACATTCATACCATGTTCGAAGGCCTTGGCAATGGCCCACATTCGCACGGGAGTTGGATGGGCCAGCTCCTTCTTGATCTCTGCCTCCAAAGACGCACCTGACCAGGCGTTGCTCTTGAAGGCGGTTCAACTATGTTCAACTCATGTATCTTATTTGCATATATATATAATATGTATTATATTCATTATTTTTCTGTTTGCTGTAAAATCCTGTAAAATCAGTAAATTTGAAGCTTTTAACCAAGCCACCTGCGGACTCTCCCTTCTGGGAGGACGAAACGGACCCACGGCGGTTGAGTTCGAGATCAAAGCGGATGGGATCGAATCCCAGACTGGTTTCATCCACCATCCGCAAAGCCTTCTGGATGGTCTCCTGCCAAATGCTCAGAGATGGAATGGGATGGACATCTTTTTTGCTGGACTTGGGGAAGTTATTCTTTTACCATCTTTTACCTAAGCATGAACATCTGTCCATTTTCAAACAACTCCAAGAGCTCCGACTAGCAGGGAGGAGCTACGAGCTAGGGGCTGAGTCTTATTCGTTTCTGTGGTCTTCGTTCTTCGTTTTGTGTTCCTTGATGCTTGTCAGATGGCACGTCCATGGCACGTCCCGTCCTCAAAGGTTCTTCCAATGGCCATGACCTCGCCCATGCTTTGCATGGCAGAGCCAATGCGAGCATCCACCGTGGAGAACTTCTGCAGATCCCAGCGTGGTACCTTGGCCACCACGTAGTCCAAGGATGGCTCGAAGCAGGCCGTGGTGCAGCGCGTGACGCTGTTCCTGTGCAAAACAAAAAATGAGAACATCCGAGAACCGATCTGTCACCTGCTGACTCAATCTGGGTGGACGCTCAATCTCGCTTCTAGGCTAGGCTTCTAGGTGAAAAAGCCTCTTTGATTGCACCTGAAGTTCTGCCATCTGAACAAAAATCCGGCAGCCAACCCGGCATGCCCGGAAACATCAAAAGACAGCTCCCCAAACCTACTGCAACCCGTCATGCCCCGTTGGCGTCCGTTGGCCCCATGTCGCCTGAGTTGGACCAAGTCGTGACCCAGCGCCAACTTCGCTGCGACGTAAGCCAAAGGATATCCGGTGGCCTTGGATGCCAAGGCACTGCTACGGGAGAGCCTCGCGTTCACCTCGATGATGCGGAACTCTGAGCTGTGAGGATCCACGGCATATTGGATGTTACACTCGCCCACGATTCCTGGGAACCCGGGGAAGCGGGAACGGAAGGCGGAACGCAAAGGGGACGCAAGGAGTGATGGTGACATGGACAGCACCATGCTCGAACTTGTCAAAAGATTGCTGAAGTGGTGAAGTGGAAGGTACAACAGGGTGCAAGAGGGTGCCAGATACTTCTGGCCTCCCTACCTCCAACAGCTTAGCACGAAGCTACCATGAAATTCTCGGAAGCTGACTAAGCCTGACCAAGCTAAGTCTCCAAGATGTCGGATGATCTTCAGAGCACATTGGCGCAGCCGGTAGTACTCATCGTTGCTCAAAGTCTGCGAAGGTGCAATCACAATGGACTCACCTGTGTGGACACCCATTGGGTCGAAATTCTCCATGTTGCAGACAGTGATGCAGTTGTCGTTCTTGTCCCGCACCACTTCGTACTCGAGTTCTTTCCAACCCTTCCTGTGACGACGGGCCAAAGTCCGACCAAAAAAGGAAGCACTAAACCTCTAAGTCAACACTCTGCACTGCAACCTTTCTCTGCATCCAGAAAAACATGCTTTCTGAGCTAGCAAACCACACCGAAATCTAGTTTGTCAGCTCTGTAAACAGGACGAACAAAACTCATCTGTCATCTGTCTGAGACTCAAAGACTTGTCGATGATAACCTGTGGGCTGTTGACCAGCGCTACATTCACCAGCTTTTTCAAGTCCTCCTCGTTGTATGCAAAGCCACTGCCCAAACCACCAAGTGCATAGGCTGCCCGGACCAGCACAGGGTATCCGATCTTTTCAGCCTCAGACTGCTTTCGCTCCGGAGGCAGATGGAAAACACTGCAAAACGGGAAAAAAAGCACTTTGTGCATGCCTTCATATCACCATGTCTTCCATATCTTTCCTGAAGAATCACTTGCTTCAAGTAGTGTGATGCAGTTCTCAATGCAGAACTGTCCGAGATCCTGTTGTGGTGAAAGGATGTAGAAGGGATTAAAAGGGCATATTTGGGGTCTGCGTGCATCAAAGGCACTGCTGTGACAGCATCAGGAACAGAGTCGCAGCATGAGCTTTCAGCAATTTTCTCACCACAGGCATCGACCACCTGAAGAAGAGTCAAGAGATGCTTGTGGCATCTTGTGTCTCCTCAACCCGGCTCATGTTCTATGTTATATACAGTTGTACGTCTTTGTACATCGTCATACATTGTTCCACGTTTCTACATCTATGTTGGCATATGTTGGCAGTAGTTGTCAGCCAAGCTCCTGAAAAACCTTTCACACTGGTGAAAGAAATTCAGAATTAAATTAAATGCATGCAAATGGAATGTGATTCAATGTGCAAAGACTGGTTGAAGTTTGGGTCGCAAGTCACCTTGCTGAAGAGATCTCGGTCTTCTGTCTTCATGATGGCATCGATCTGAGTTCCTCAGTCCCAGAATGCTTTGGTCAGCGTGGAGGGAACTATTGTCATTGCACTTGCGACAGATACACATAGATGAACAAACCAGGTGTTCAGAGAGTCAAGAAGTGATCATTGACAACCTACACACGCGCAAATTCCGAACACATGATTGGAATACTCAATCTAGTCCTATCAAGCACCAAACGCACCAACTACTCCAAGGAGCCAAGTACCTTGACGTTATACTTTTCGAAGACCCCTGCTTGGTACAACTTCACCGCGCAGTTCAAGGCCGTCTGCCCACCAAAGGCTGCAAAAATGCCATCAGGCTTCTCACGCTCAATGACTTTGACGACAAATTCTGGAGTCACAGGCAGAAAGTACACACGGTCGGCCATTCCGGCGGATGTCTGAACTGTGGCAATGTTGGGGTTGATCAAAATCGACATCACGCCAGCTTCCTTGAGTGCCTTGATGGCCTGACTTCCAGAATAGTCAAATTCTCCTGCCTGTCCAATGGTCAGTCCGCCAGAGCCCAACACTAAGACTTTGCGGTACAGAGTTGGCAGTGAGTATGGCATTGTGGTCACCACCGAAGCAGTTGGTTCAGCAATGAATTGCAGAAAGTAGTTGAACAGGAAATCCGTGTCCGTTGGACCGCCTTTCGCTTCTGGATGAAATTGCACAGAGAACCACGGCTTGGAGGAGTGAATGATGCCTTCATTGGTTCCATCGTTGGCATTGACCTTGGCTACAAGTCATACGGTCGTTTCGTACAGGAAAGAAAAAATGAAATATGCCGCCTTATGAATAATTTAAAAAAACTAAACAGAACGTTCCATCTCAGCCAATAGCAGTTGTCCATGAGCGGAACCCAGTGCTGTGGCAACGTAGTTTGGTCCACGGCAAAGCCATGGTTCTGGGCGGTGATGTAGCAGCGCTGGGTTCGGAGATCGACCACCGGCTGGTTCATGCCACGATTCCCAAACCTACCAGGCGGACTGATTGAATTCATGTTGTGCAAAGCAAAGGCAACTACATACCTAGCTACCTGAATTCGACTGCAGTTTACAATGTACTTATATAGATGTGAGAAAAATAATTGCAGTATCAGCATACGTTGCTTGTGCCATGCTGCACGAATCTGAAAAGGGATCTGATGTTCTCAAATGCACTTGAAGGACGCCCACAAATGCCCAATCGGTTCATTTATCAGTTTGGTGACACCCAAAGCGACGGTATTCAAATGCATGGCAAGCTTAGCTACGTACATGGAAAGCTGCATGGGAAGCCACAGTTCAACTGAATCTTCCGAGTGCCTCATCTTGTAGGTAGAGGCCCCAGCTGCCAACGCCAAGATCTGATTTCCCAAGCAAATGCCGAAAATTGGTGTGTCAGGTCGATGCTTCATGACCTCAGAAAATCAAGGAGTTTCTTCAAAACTGCATTCCAAATCTATCCCTCTTCTGTCAGCGAATCCTTCGCATCGAATTGGAGGATTTTTTTCGAAGAAGGAAGAAAACAAACAAGTATACCTAGTCAAAAGTCAAGATCTTAAATGACTTAAGACAAGCGCTGAAAGCGAACTAAGGCTGTGTCTAAGGGATCTAAGGCCAAAGAACATACTTCACATGCTCCACAGTCTTGGCGCACATCGTGGGGTCGCCTGGGCCGTTAGAAAGAAATAACCCATCGAAGGAATCTTGCGTGAAGTCATAGTCCCACGGCACCACAGTGACTCGCAGCCCAAGCCCGTTGACCAGGTACCTGGCACCAACTTGAGAATTGCAGCCCTTTCAGGCCTTCAAGTGAGGCAACAAATGATTAGTCGAAACAAATTCAACATCTCGCAAAATTGATTGGCCATTGGTCATGTATTTCATGTTGTTGTGATTCCACCGTCATGGGTTGCATCACGTCTACTGTATTTGTTAAATTCAAAAGGTGCATGAGGGCAGCTGCTGAGCCTGATGATGTTGTTCTTCATACCGCAATCCACGGCCAAGACATGAACCTGTCTTTTCGACGCTTCCACAGGCACGAAGACTTCCTTCTCCTTCCTTGAGACTTCTGCTACCAGGTTACGGTGGTTCGGGTCATCAATTTCCAAGTTTACTGAAGGTGTGCTCCCTTGCACTACCAGTTTCCCCAGCATTGAGCCACTTTCGCGGATCACTTTGGTGATGGCACGGGTATCCACTCCATAGATACCCGGGATGCCCTGAGAGGACAGCCACTCACCGAGACTGCGGATGCAGCTGTAGTGCGATGGTTCATAAGAATAGTCGGAAATGACCACGCCCTTCAAATGGATCCTGAACTGTGCACATGCATCATATTTCGACACATCAAACCTACAGTACAAATGCTCAATTAGCACGCCCAATTTCAAATCTATGCATGTGCATCCATGTGTGTACACATACACATACACATACACATACACATACACATACACATATTCATACTCATACACATACACATACACATACTCATACACATACACATACTCATACACATACTCATACACATACACATACACATACACATACGTTAGACAAATAAACACATATAAAATAACACGGAAAAAAAAACTAGTCAAGGCGAGGAGCTTGTGGCTCTCGAACCATTTGGGCAATCCAAGCTGGTCCTTTTCATCGGAAGGAATCCCATAGTTTCCCACCAAAGGGTACGTGAAAACGAGGATCTGCCCCGCATACGATGGATCTGTGAGGGATTCGGGATATCCGACCATTCCTGTGTTGAACACAACCTCACCAGACACTGATGTGCTTGCACCAAAGGAGTAACCCTGCATCATGGTGCCATTTGCGAGTTCCAAGTCGCATTTACGACGATCGTTCAACCATTGAAGAAGGTCCTTGGTCTCTCCGTTGACTGGTTTCGTGTCCATAGGACCCCCACCGTTCACAAAGTCCAAACCCATCCTGGACTTCCGAACGCTCGGGAGAGTGTGTGGGACGAACTCGCAATATCCTTGAAGAACCGAAATGGCTACAAATTCAAACATGAAAAAATACATGCCTCGTCATTGCCAAACGTTTTTTTGGGCAATCTGGCAACGTAGATTTGTTGCAAATTCGCCAGATGCACCAAACAGCCTCGTTAATACCAATCTTTCCACCAATATTCAAATTGAAAAATAGAAAACCACCTCTCCTGAAACTGTATTAGTTGGTGTGTGTCCAAGCCTCTCTGCTGATTGTTATACTTGAAGGCTCCTTCCTGTCTTTGCACCAAAAAAAAATGAGCAGTGATGGGAATGCGTTTTTAAAATCGTGGTTGCTTGGACGCGAATGGCAGCTAACTTATGCACATTGATAGTGATGAAGCCAAATGAAACTATCCGAGTTGCGGAAATGTGAAATGTGCCCAAATGCTGTCTGTCACATAAAAAAATGTGAAATGAGTTATTTGAACGGTCTTGTAGTAGCAGTGCGTTGTAGACTTTGGAATGCGGAATGGGGTGGAGTACAAAGTGTGGAGTGTGAAAAAAAGGGGAGCGTTGAGTGGGGAACGGTGGGGATTTGGAGGAGTGTTAAGTGTAAAGTGTGAGGTGTAAAGTGTGAAGTGTAGAGTGTGGAGCGTAAAGTGTAGAGTGGAAAATGAAGAATGCGGGGTGAAAAGTGTAAAGTGCGGAGTGTAAAGTGTGAAGTGTGGAGTGTAGGGTGGGGAGTGTGGAGTGTAAAGTGTAAAGTGGAAAGTGTAGAGCGCAGGGTGTAAAGTATATAGTGTGGAGTGTACAGTGCGAAGTGTGGAGTGTAAAGTGTAAAGTGTGGAGTGTAGAGTGTGGAGTGTGGAGTGTAGTGTGGACTGTGGAGTGTAAAAGGTAGTGTAAAGTGTGAAGTGTAGAGTGCGGAGTGTGGAGTGTAAAGTGTAGACTGTGGAGTGTAAAGTGTAAAGTGTGAATTGTAAAGTGCAAGGTGTAGACCGTAGAGTGTAAAGTGTAAAGTGTGGAGTGTAAAGTGTAAATTCTAAAGCGTAAAGTTTGGAGTGTGGAGTGTGGAGTGGTGTAAAGTTTGGACTGTAGAGTGTAAAGTGTAGTGCAAAGTGTCAAGTGTAAAGTGTAAAGTGTAGTGTGGAGTGTAAAGTGTGGAGTGTAAAGTGTACAGTGTGGAGTGTAAAGTGTAGAGTGCGGAGTAAAAATTGCAAAATAGTAAAAATTGTAGAGTGGGGAGTGTGAAGTGTAAAGTGTGGAGTGCGGAGTGTAAAGTGCTAAGTGCGGAGTGTAAAGTGTAAGGTGTGGAGTGTAAAGTGTCGAGTGTAAAGTTGAAAGTGCGGAGTGCACAGTGTAAAGTGTAGAGTGTGAAGTGGAAAGTGCAAAGTGCCAGTGTAAAGTGTGGAGTGTAAAGTGTAGGGTGCACAGTGTAAAGTGTAAACAGTAATGTGTGGAGTGTAGAGTGTAGAGTGCGAAGTGTAGAGCGTAGTGCGGAGTGTCAAGTGTAGAATGTGGGGTGTAGAGTGTAGAGTGTTGAGTGTAGAGTGTAGAGTGTAGCGTATAGAGTGCGGAGTTTGAAGTGGAAAGTGTAGAACGTAGAGTGTCCGAAATACTGCGCCTGCTACACAACATGACATTCCACACACAACGGAAAAAAGAATCTGCCCCTGCCACGCAAAACCAGATCTCTCAGGATGTCCGAAGCCTGCCACGCAATTTCCAGTTGTCACCACTTGACGCAGCCCTGACAGTTTGATTCGCACACGACACGTAACACCACACGTCTAAAGCGCAGCGCCTGCCACACAAAATCAAGATGAACACGTCCAAAGTGCTGCGCCTGCCAAGAAATATGAAAATCATCTTCTGAAAACGATGCAAAAGTATTGCGCCTGACAGGCAAAAGACTGTCGGCACGTTTTTACACACGTGACAATGTCACGAAGTGCGACCCCGCCTGCCACACGCAAAACGACATACAACCTGTTTTGAAACCTTCGGAAATGAGAGGTTTTGCAGCTTCCCCCATAGGCACAGCGATGCTAGAAGAGAACCAGAGAATCGAGACTGCAAGAAGCCTAAACCCAAAGACAAATCCCAAGAACCAACACCCACGGCTCCGACAGCTTCAAGTCCCTTTTGCGCGACCACAACACAAAGCAAGATCTGTCAAATGCAGCTGTGCTAAGATCTCTCTCTTAGACTGTTTGACTCGCGCTCCTCGAGAGCGAAAATCGATAGCGGAAACTCGATTTCAGGGTCAAAAAAGTCCAGATGTATATCAAAGACCTGCATGTTTCAAAAGTTTCTCTGGACAAAAGTCACGAAACAAGTGACGTCCAAAATGTTTTGGTTTCAGGTTTGCAAATCCCTAGATCTACAAACCCTCAAACTAATTAGTTCATCAAGATAGGTCATTAATCCCGAATATAGGAAGGTTTTCTCCCATCAACTGCCATCTCTCAACAACGGCTTTCAGCCTCAGACAAATGATGGCTCCAGTCATCATTTGGGAGAAGACCCAAAACGTTTCGGGGGCTATCAGTTAATGACCTATAACGATGAACCAATGCACAAACTCTATAGTGATCAACGCAAAAACCCTCGCAAAACAGCGCGAAACCCTTCGAAACTTCTCAAACGATCTCAAAACGGTTTCAAACAAATACTTCCAACTCAGAAAACCTCTGAAGATGGTAGATATATCTTTGTTCCCTATTTAAAACCGAAAAGCGCAGACGATACGCGCACGCAATAAACCGGATAAAATAAAACAAGCCAAGCAAAAAGACACGGCTGAAGTTGAAAGCGGCCCAACTTTTTGACTGCAAAGATGGATGTGTGCCATTGTGAATCGAAGGTCCGAATGTGCGTAACAGCACTGCGCAACACCAAGTAGTTGATCGTAAAAGACCAATGTAGTTGCGCCAGCTCAAAAGGGGGCAAAAGACCCCGCACCCTCCAAAATGGCAATACGGTTCCATGAAAGGAACAAAACAAAAGGGTGGCAGAGGGAGGATACTCAAATTTTCTTCAGCCATACTGCACGTGAAAACACTAAGTAAAACAAGGTGCATACCAGAAACATCAGACTGACATCACTGAAGCAAGTAAAATCTGACAGTGAAAACTGACATCAGAAGAAAGCAACTGACATCCAGGAAACTGGAATGAAACTGAAGTGTCAACGTGCTGGTTTCCAGAAGTTGTTCCCTGAAGTTCTCTGTGATCGCGTTGGGGTAAAACCCAGTTGTTTGACTTGCGTCGTCGACGTCGGTTTTCAACGGGGAATGCACGAAAACGATGCGAGCAGGTAAAACTGCAGCAACGTAGATTATAGCCAGGTAAAACTGGACGTACGAAAACAGCACACTCTGAAAAAGAATGCAGAATGCTGTGTCGTGCAGCTCCAATCATGAGTTCCTCATACTTTGGCGAAGGAAGCCGCAAACAAGTTCCCACATCTCCATGCAGAAATCTTAGCAAAGCTTTGATTGCCATCTCGGTGCCATGCGTTGGAGCAGCTTGTTGTGAGCCAATCAGGCTGAGAAACAACTTCAATTCATGTCTCGATTGTGCCATCCAAAGAAGCTTTCCCAGTGCTCTCCGAAACCTCAAGTAAGCTGCAGCCGTCAACGGCTGTTGCATGCTTTCGTCCGTCAAAGCTCTCTCAAGCACTGCTGCAACATCGGGCACAATGTTGGAACGCTTGTTCACTGCATTCCACAAAGGTTGTGTCCAGAAACTTTGGGTCAACACCAATTGACAGTGAATCATCCGTTGCTCCTCGTTGAATTCTTCTTCCAATGAAAGTCAATGCACCTCCACCTTCTCCAGCGGGTAGTACCAAGCCAGTTTCTTTCAGCGGGACTGCCTTCCCAATTGCTTTCTCGACCAGCTTCACACTACGTGCAGTTTGACAACAAAGAAGAAGATCATCAACATAGGCCACTAGCAATGCAGTTTCTCCATGCACAACACCCTGGTAAATGCAAGGTTCAACTTCATCAGAAACAAGTCCGACTCCTCGAATTGAGTCACTGAGCAAATTCAACCAATGCAAGGATGCGTCTCGAAGACCATTGAGAGCTTTGTAGAGCAAGAGATATGCTGGAGAACCATCCATCATAGAGACGGACAAAGGCAACTTGAGGTGAATGCGTGGGAAACGTCAAGACCTTTGAGTCGCAGAGCTCTTCTCGAAGCCAATGAAAGCACAAAATGCAAGCCCACGATGCTTGGAGTGGGGCTAGAAATCCCTAATTTTCGTGCAGAAACACCTTTGTTGGTGGCTCGGTCGACCTGTAAACGCCCACTTTCTTATGCGCATTTCCCATAGGCACAGCGTGTTTTTGTGCATTTTTTACCACGTATATCATGGTTTCGTGGGGTGGGGTGGGGTGGGATGATAACGTTCATGTTACGCGTGATGCACAACGCACTGTGATGTTGATGTAATGTTCGTGCACGCTGACATCGGTACGCAGTGCTACGTTGATGGGTGGGGTGGGGTGGGGTGGGGTGGGGTGGGGTGGGATGATAACGTTCATGTTACGCGTGATGCACAACGCACTGCCCTGACAGCGACCTGTCGCAAGTTTGGACTTCCTAATGCACCTGCCCGTCATTGCATCGATGAGATGTCACCGACCGTCGAACTGAAACAAAGTGACATGACCAAGCAGCAGCAGAAGACTTTGACAAAGGCCTCGAAAGTCTTGAAGGGACCGGCGGCTTTGACAAGGAAACAATCCTTTTTGATCGTCGGACGCGACAATTCAACAGAATCTGAAATTAGTCGAGTGAAAGGCCAGATGCGCCGCACCAATATGCTGGGTAGAATCAGCCCACGCAATGCTCAGGTGCAGCAGTTTGCTGCCAAGCGTCTCTTAGAAGCCTGGGTTGATGCCTCTGGTGACGGCTTTTGCGGAATATCGCAGAGATCGAAAAAACCAAATGGGTATTCAACCAGGTCACGCGTTTCAAATTGAGAAAGACAACGCTTGGCTCCCATGAAAAAAAGGAGTGG